TGGGGTAAAAACCCACCCAAAACTTAAGTCCCCTTTTAGTCTTTTTTTGTATTGGCAAAAAGTTTTTTAAAAAACAGGCAAAAGTAGGGGAAACCCTAAAGCCTGAACCGATCTGCTTAAATTTAGAAGGACCATATGAAACCCGGATCTGACGAACGGGCCCTCTTGTCGAGGAGGACGCCTATTGAGTACTTGTTTTATCAGTAAGATTACAACCCCGGGTCCGAAGGGGCTAATACAATTAAAATGTTTTGGTGTTGGAAACCCGGGGGTTTGGGAATCATTATCATCAGAAAAAACTAATCACAAAAATGATGGGGCTGACTAGGCATAGCATTAAGTAATGCATTAATTAGAATATTGAAAAGTGTGGGACTGGCACACTCCCCGTGGGGTTTCTAATTCAAAGTCTTTTGTTTCACTTCTATGTCCCTGGAAAAACACAGCGATTTTTGTTTGACAGGTAGCCTTTAAACCAGCGGAGAAGCCCCCTCCCAAAATCCATTCTGGCAAGTTTACTAATGTTACAGCGGTTGCTAATCGAAGCGGATTTTAAGGTCAAGGAAAGGGGTGTATGAGGGTAGTGTGCAGAGTGGGGGAAAAAAGGGGGGTTGCAAGATGCACGCTCTTCCCTGCAAAAACCATGTAACCGGGGAGACAAAAAAATTTTTTTGATTTGTCATAACGAATAGAATCATTCTCTCAAATGTTTTTAAAAAGAGCTAGTAAAAAGGGTATTGGGCGAAATGCATTTTGTTGATTGGGCCTTTTTGGAAGGGAAAGATGAGGTGTTTTTCCAAGATTGAGGGAGTCCCTTCATAGCTCATGTTTTAATTCAATAATGGGTTACCCGGTCTCGAACAGCAATCTGAGTATGTTTTTAATAATACCATCCTCACCAGGCGCGTGGGGTTGCCTTAGTTAGTGCTGCATCAAGTTCATAATTAGTGAAAGGAATTTGCAATCATCTGCTTTCTGAGAAAAGAAAAAAGTCTTCCCCTTTCATCATATTTGTCTTTAATTTTGCCTGTGTGGTACTGGGAAGATTATCATAGAGAGTAGAGCCCAAGCCTGACTAACTCATTGCCCTATGTAAGAGATGAGGGTCGCGATCTCCCAGTTTGGGGTTGGCAAAAGTAAAGTCACTCGAAATTAGCCAACTTTGAGAAATTGCTCAAGAGCCTTAGAGGACCCCCGGCCCCCGCCCCTTTTCTCTCACCGTCCCGAAAGGTAAAAACCCCCTTCTTTCCCCTTGTCATTCCAGCTTTTTTTAAAAATCATTGTGGCTTCGCTCCCAACCCAGGTAAAACAAATAAATCCTGGTTTATAAACGAGTTTTTGACCAGTAAGGTTTTCCTAGGGGCGGAAAAACCAAGGGGACACTTCATAACTTCAAAGAAAATAAAGTCAACACGCCCGTCAACAGTTTTAAAAAAAGCTGAGGCAATAAGACAAATAATTTTAAAACAGGGAGCCCCCAGGACAACACCACATCTCTTCTTCCCCAAAAATATAACAAATGGTAGAGAATCTGAGATTTTTTTAAATTTTTGTTTTTTTTTTATCCTGACTCTTTACCTTTAAAATGTAATATTTCTTTAACCACACAACACACACACACACACCACGGCGCGCACCCCACACACACCACACACACCCAACACAACACACACCACACAACACACAATTTTTAACAAAACAGTAAAGTCACGGTACAAAAAACTGTAAAAAAAGTCAAATTCCCCTCCCCTCCTTTCCCCGTACACTTTAAATTTGTGTAAACAATCGAACCCGATTGTTGGAGGAGCTCATATATTTTTTGGGAAAATCAACGGAAACAAAAAGGAATCCCATAAAATATCGTGCGTTACCACTTTATTAAAATATCCATATGTGTAAAACGTGAGACAAAAAGTCTCAACAAAGCCATCGATAAGTTGGCACATCAGAGTTTGCTGGCCAAAATAAAGTGGTAGAATTAAAAGACAAACTAGGGGCCCTGGATCGGCCCCCTAAACAAAAAGGGGAGAGAGACCAGCTAACGCATGACAAAAAAGCTACACAAAGAGCATAAACCTTCTTTTTAAACTCGTTTAAACTGAAGAGAAGCTGCATTAACCCTGATGAATCTCTTGAGCAAACTGAATGAGGAGTGTAGGGGGGTATGAATGAGGAGTGTCAGGGTGATATAAAACTGAGGAGTGTCGGGGTGGTATAAACTGGGAGTGTCAGGGTGGTATGAATGAGGAGTGCGGGGTGGTACTAAAATGGGAGTGTCAGGGGGGGTACTAAATAGGAGTATCGGGGTGGTACTGAATGGAGTGTCGGGGTGGTATAAATGAGGAGTGTCAGGGGGGTACTAATGGGGGTTCAGGGTGGTACTAAATGAGGGTGTCAGGGTGGACTGAACTGAGGAAGTATCAGGGTGGTACAAAAATGGGGAGTGTCAGGGTGGTATGAATGAGGAGTGTGGGTGGGTACTAAAACTGAGGAGTGTCAG